CGTAAGGAGCGCTTGAAGAAGTCGCATACTTGGATGGGAGGGGCGGGGGACTTCGCAAGTAGGTAAGTAGAGTTAGAAGTGGCCTAAAAGAAATCCGAATTGGGGTTATGATACATATAGCCCTAAAAAAATAACTACTTACTAAGTCCCCCGACCCTCCAAGTAGAAGCTTATATGGGGTTTAGGGTAGCAGCTCGCACACACCTTTATAGACCCCTTAATGCGCGAACTGAGTACGTAAGGTTACAAGTGGAAAAATGCGGAGATAAGAAATCAAACTTGCAGTTATTTGGGTTATTATTTCAAGTTACTAAGCCCCATTCGAATATAACATATTCCAGTGTTTGGCGCTCGTTTCGTTTATTTTGCTGCTCAGCTTGTAAGGGCACCAGAGGAACCCTTGAACCTTAAACCCTAAACCCTAAACCCTGGAACCCTAAATCCTAAACCCGAGTTTGGTACTGAGGCCTCCGCCAGGCAGAGTGCGAGTGCCCAGCAGATCCAGACCTGGGCCATGGCTTGGGAGTCAATGCCCCGGGGCGGCGTTTAGGGTTCAGGCGCAAAGAGTTTTTGGGTTTTGGGTTTTGGGTCTAGAGTCTAGAGGGTTCAATGCGGGTTCTGTGGTTTTAAAGGGTCTCCAAGAGGGTTTATTGGGCTGTGATTTAGGAGATGTCCTAATTTTAACGCTACGCCGCCCGCCTCGGCTGCTCAGGGCACGGAAGGCTGCGGCTTTGCATGAGTAGTCTACTGGGGGGGTGGAAAATGGACGCAAAAAACGGGTGGTTCCAACCGTTTGGACTGCAGGGAGGAAGATTAGGTGGAGGGTACTTGAGGTAACCCCCAAGACGCCTACCCACTGCACTACGGCTTCTCCAAATGTTACTTGGCTGTTACCTGAGCCAAGCTGGTCCCAAGCTGTGCTTCTGTTTTTTCATACGCTTCAGGCCTCTCCAGCCGTGCCGTCCAAGGAGCCGGAACAGGAAAGGTGTGCGGGCAAACAAGCTGGAAAGAAAGAGCAGGAGCTGAGTCTTGCAGCAGACAACGAACAGCTAAAAACAGAACATGCAGACAGAAAAACAGGGAACAAAGGCAGCAACGGCAGGGCAAGGCGGGTTTACTGCAGGCTGGGAAGGGGGGGGGGGGCAGACAAACCGCCAAAAAACAGCAAAAAATGAGGGGGTCGATCAGGGAAAGGTCAACAAGTCAGGTAAAATCAAGGGAAGCCGGGCGAAGGGGTGGAAAATGGACGCAAAAAGCGGGTCCATCCAACCGTTTTTGGCTGGCCTGCAGGGAGGAGGATTAGGTGGAGCGTACTTGAAGTAACCGCCAAGACGACTGGGCCTCTGGCCTCGGCGGATTTCAATCTGGCTCTGAGATGTATCATGGTATCCTGCCATGCGGACTAACGGGAGACAACATTGCGAGGCTAATATCCAGGCTTTTTTTCCTAAAGCCCTTCACACCAAACAATATACCCGGAACCTTTTCCTGGCATTAGTGCTAGAAGCAGTAGTAGTCGTCGTCGTAGGCGTAGCCGTAATCCCAGACGTAGTCGTCGTAGTAGAAGTAGCAGTAATAGCTGTAGTAGCAGTAGCAGTAGCACTAGTAGTACGAGCAGCAGCAGTCGTCGTCGTCGTCGTCGTCGTAGTAGTAGTAGTAGTAGTAGTAATAGTGTAGCAGCTGCAGGAGCCGTAGGAGGTTTGGCTGTAAGAGCATCGCTAGCCGTGGGAGCAGCAGGATGACAACACTAGCAACCGTAGCCGCTTCCTCAAAGACGAAATGACCCTTCAAAATAGGGGCCCCATACCATCCCTATACGGTATATGAACCTGAAACCGTCGTCACCATCATGCGCATTAGTATAAACGCAATATATAATCACCCCTAAACCCTACCATTGTTGTTGTGAGTGAGAGCCGGAATCCCAAAAACATGTTGCACACGCATGATGATGAACTAGGGCTTAGGGTTTAAGGTTTAGTCGTTGTCTTCTCTTTACAACGAAACATGCTTGTACCTAAGAATGTCGTAACCTCGAAACCCCGGTCAGAACTCAATGCTGCCAGAAAAAAGGTGTCCTGCCTAGAGTCCCAGGATATTCCGCCGCAGCTTGGCTCTTTCTATCCGATTTACGGTTTTTGGGCAACCTTAACCCTTAAAATCCCAAGGCCCTAAATGCCCCATCTCCAAACACCCCAAACACGAGACCCTAAGCCCGAAGCCCTAAACCACTAAACCCTAAACCCCTAAACCCCTAAACCCTAAACCCCTAAACCCTGAACGCCTAAACCCTAAACCCCTAAACCCTAAA